GTGTGTGTGTGTGTGTGTGTGTGTGTGTGTGTGTGTGTGTGTGTGTGAGAGAGAGAGAGAGATCGAGGTGATCAGTGGGGTGGGGAGGCTTCTTGTAAATGCGACAATTAAGTTCGCATAACGTCATAATAAAACCTGAAAGTGTGTGTGCAATGTGCATATCATAAGTCAGTCTGAAGTTCACACACGCATATAGAGAAGCTCTTGTCATCATGACATCGCTGCAGGCAGAAACTGTTCTGTACTGAGAGACGGAGACCGTAAAAGAGAGAGAGAGAGAGAGAGAGAAGGCCATGCAGGTGCATCTTTCTTTTTCAGACATGAAGTACAGAGAAACGAAAAGATGGAGTGGAACAGAGCAGAGAGATAACGGAACAAATGAATAGAACAAAGTGAGCAGGGGAGAACAGGGGTGAAGTAAAGGATGTACTGTTTTCACCGTGCATTTGTTTCTGTTACATTCTCAGTTGATTGCCTTGCCTTCTGTATCCCCGTCTTTTCTTGTAGCGCCTGTTTCCATCATCCGTTCTCTTCTGATTCTCTGTTCTTGCTGTTCTGCCTTTTGATATTCAAATTAAGTTTTTGCTTGAATTGAAACCGAAACATTTTAATTTTAAGTTTCTTGAATGCTTGAACGCAGTTCAGAGAAAAATAACTCATGGACATCTGCATTGTGCATCTGCCTGGTCTTTCTGGTAAACTGGAGACCTGATAATCGGTGACTCACTCCTCGTTTCTGTTTTGTTTCGGCACGTGCTCAGTGGCTGAATTCCTATTGCACTTCCTCTTGTAGGGTAGCAGTCACAGCGTGACTTAGCAGAAACACAACCTGTGAATACTGTGTATGCAATTAGTATTTGTGTAATCTTTTTGGTTTTGTTTTTGGAAATTGACTCCGCAGCTCTCATTAACAACTTCCTGACCGAAACTGGTGTGTGTGTGACTCCAGTGACCAGTAATTGCACTTACAGCAGATGAAACTACATACTTGCATACAGTGTACCTATTATTATAAAATGAGGTTTCACTTCTCCGGGCTGTTGAACAATAACTCAGCAGGTCCACACACCCAGCTTCTCTGTGTTTTAGATGGGAAACATCTATAATGTAATTCATGCGCTTTATTTAGAACAAACCTGAGGCACCCACGTTACCAAAACATGACCCCTGCTTTACACACACACACACACACACACACACATTTCTAGACAGACACACTGCACTCGCCGATGTCTAACCTTTGACATGACATCCAATTAGTTTCCCGGCATAAATCAATGAACCCATTAACACTGTCAGGCTATGTGCATTCTTTGTGTGTTGCAAAACTTGCATGTGTCTCGTGTGTGTGTGTGTGTGTGTGTGTGTGTGTGTGTGTGTGTGTGTGTG